TCGCAGGAGGCCGATCGCCTTGTGGCTTTAGCGAGAGCCACCTTGAAAGTTGCGGTGCAAGTGCTCCCTCTGTGGCCTCCTGTGGACCTGGATGGGGTCAGCAGACTCCCTGAGGTTAAGAGCCCGAAGAAGGAGGTGCCAGGGCACGACTGGAGGTCGTGGGGCGGAATCTGGAGGTGCGCTCGCTGTTTGAGGGGGAACCGTTCCTTTTCGAAGCCAGCTCCAGGTTCCTGCTCTAGGTCCTCTCTTGTCCACGCAGACTCCCAGGACGCCTTAGGCCACCGGGCGGTGGCCTTTCCGTGTTCTGACAACTCTGTGCTCTTTATCTGTCTTAGATGTAAATGCCTCACATCCGGAGGTCATATTCGTGGACTCAGTAAACAGTGTGTGTTCGGTCCCTTCGCGTGCGTGCAAGCAGGTATCAGCTGAGGATTTCTGGCGTTTCGGTGGACTCTTCCTCTGAGGCCTGATACAGTGTTTCAACTCTGAGGCTGCACTTGCTGCCCTTGCAGACGGTGCTTCTGAGGTGCCTGTGCAGGCCCCCAGCTCGAGCTCTCGGGTTGCGTCGGAGCCCCCCCAGCAGGAGATGCGGCAGGGACCCCAACAGTTACGACAAGACACACCTTTTTTCCTGGCGAGTCGCCGCCAGGATGAGTCGGATAGTTCAGATTGATTTTCTGCGGCGCAGGGCCGCCCATCCGTTGTCGTTTGTTTGCACGGCCCGATGCGCCTGACCCTTTTGGCAGGCATCCGTGCTAAACCCCACATCTGGGGCGAGACTGGTGTCGTCCTGGCGCTGTTTGCACCAGGGGCTTCTGGCCTCGTCGTCCTTGTGTGGGTGGTCGAGTTTTCCCGGCGGCGAGGGTTCGCCGTCTCGTTTTATTGTCTGCGCGGCCCGATGCGGCTGACCCTTTTGGCAGGCATCCGTGCTTTACCCCACATCTGGGGCGAGTCCGACTGTCGTCCTGGCGCTTGCTGCACCAGGGACTGTGGGCTCGTCGTCCTTTTGTGGGTGGTCGAATCTTTTTCTTTGATTTGGTTGTGTGCGGTCTCGTTGTGCGTGCGTCCGTCGTGCGCGCGTGTCAGGCACCCCACTTCTGGGGGAAGGCGCATGCACACCTAGGGTGCGCTTCTTCCTGGTCCGAGCACGGGGGTGACTTCATCTTGGCAGTGGCTCGTCTGATGTTGCTGTGGCCTTGAGCTTTGGTTCTTGGCCCCAACATCTTTTTTGTTGGCGTTGGGCGCGCTCATCGTGCGTGTGTACGTTGCTCGTCCCTCCGCCCCTGCCCTCCACCTCCAGGGGCCATCGTGGCTCTTGTGGAAAGGAGCTGTCTCGTCCGTTGTCCCTCTTGCACAGCCGGGGGCAGTCGGTCCGAGAGAGCCTTCCACTTGCAGTGCCTCTGCAATAGGAAGCTTTTGCGCTTGCAGCTCAGTGCCCTCCTGCGGCCCAGTGCACCTGCCCCCTCTCTTAGAGATGTTGCGGCAGGTGCGCTTTGAGCTTGGGCACTTGGACGCAGAGGTCCTCTCGGCCTCTCGTCGAGCTGTTTCATTTGCGCTGTGACTCAGGCTTGTGCCTAGGTCAACGTGCCAGCATCCCCCTCCGCTGCTGGCTCGTTTCCTTGGTCAGTCCAAGGTTTTGGAGGCGTGGCGTTGATGTCAACAAAAAACGCATGCTTCTGCGTGCGCGTTCGTGGCTTTTTGGGGTCTCTTTTTTATGGGGGCCTCTTGGGTCGTTGGTCCGAAAGATACCCGTGCCCGGGGCCAGCCAAGGTGAGATGGGCCGTCCGTGGGACTGGGCGCTTGCTAATGTGCCCGGTCAGCCTGCCCCGCGCGCGCCAGTGCAGCATCCGCGCGTCAAGACGCAACGGCGCGCTCGATGGTTGGGTGTCTGATTGCAGCGACAAGCGCTGGTTTTTGTTAGGGACGTCTCGGGGCATCGTGGTGCGTGCGCGGTTCAGAGCCGCCCATATGTGGCGGCGCCTGTCCCAATCGATAAAGAGTTGCATTTCCTCGCTATCCTGGCAACTAATGCGTCTGGGCCTGCACTGGGGAACGACGTTGCAATGTCGCGCCCCCAGGGGGCCGCAGCGGCCACGTCGGGGACGGCTCTGGAGGGCATGATATGTGTTCGAGAGCGTTTTGGGCCTGCCGCCACCTCGGCTAGGTACGGGGACCTGCCTGAAACCACCGAAACATACCCGGACCTAGCTGGGGTGAGCTGCGGCACCCCGGCTAGGTACGGGTATGTTTTCTTGGTTTTCACGGGGCAACCGTACCTAGCTGGGGTGATCCGCAGGCGGCCGTCCAAGGGGGGCGGCTTCTGGCGACCTCGCCCAGGGCGCAGATTCGCGATGTCTCTGCATCGAGCAATTCGCGATAGGGCGGTTGTCGCGCAATGACGTTCGCGCCAGAGTTATTCGCATGCGCCCCCGAGTGCGCGTTGACTCCGCAACTCCCGGATGTGTGTCGGGGGGCGCGCCTCCGCAGTAGCTGGTCTACATCGACAACAACCAACGCAGGGTCGGGCACTCTGCCGATTCGAATCCACGTGCGATCGGTGCTAACGTGCGCCCCGAGAAGACAGCGGTCTGTAATGCTCGATCGGCTGTCGTTTTTACACTTGTGCAGCCGCCGCCAGCTGCGACGAACCCCCCCCCGGCCCCTTGCCACCCTGTCTAGGTAAGGGTACGGGTATCTTTCGCGCTCGAGATTGGGGGCTTGAGTCGACACGACACGAACCGGGTAGGGGGTTTGGCCGCAGTTCCTGGGCCGGATCGACGGTCTTCGTCTGCGCTGATCATTCGATGCCAGATTATGCCGGTTGCGACCGACGAGGCCGGTCGTTGCCAATGCGGTGACGGTCGCGACCGATTTGTTCCAACTGGCCGCGACCGATTTGGAGTGCCGATCTTTCGCTACCGATCGTGACCGAACAAATTTGGTGTGAGGGGGGACCGGTAGCGGTCCATAAGAGTTTTGTACGCCCTCGAGATTCCGTTTTTTACCTGCACTGGCGTGCGGTAGTGTTTGGTAATCGATGCGAAAGCGCCAATTTAGAGTCAATCAGCGTCGACTGCCGTCGATTAGCGCCGATCAGCGTCGATTGGCGTCGATTCGCAAGCGCCAGCAAAATGGCATGGGAGGCTCCCATGAGGCGCCATAGAAGGTGGGGATTGGTTTTGGGGGAACGCATCGACCCCCAATCGCCCAAAGATCGTCGATGCGGGTTTGACAGCCACCCCCCCGCCCAGGAACGTGGGGGTCTGCTAATTGTCGGGGGCGTGTCGCCGATGTGTCGGCGACGCATCGCCGCTTCCAGCCCGTGTCCAGGAGGGGAGAAAACACACACAGACACAATGAATCGTCGATCCCCCACAAAATGTAGGAAAATATGGGAAGTGGGGGGGAAGACACAAACCCAGAAAAGATGTGTCCCAGGGCCCCCCTTTCACGTCTCCCCTCCTAGCGCAGCCCTGTCCTCGTCACTTCGGGGCAGCCACCTGGCAAGCGCGAGAGAGCACCGGGCGGCAGACGCGCCGCCACGGCACACCGCCGGTGGTCCTGCGCAGGCCTGGCCAGCGGGAGCTTTCGCGCCTCACGCCCGCACGCGCACCCTCGTCCGCACTGCGCTCGCGCCCCTGCGCGGAACGAACACGCACCGACGCCGAGTTCCTGGCGGGAGGCACTCGAAGCTTACACTCCCGTCTCCCGATGTGCGCACGCGTGTACACGCAGGTCGTTGCAAGTATATATTTCTATATTTTCGGATCCAAGTCCATTGCAAGCGCCTTCTGCTTAACAGATCGAGTGATTCTCCCCTTCCCTTGCTCTTCAGGGGGCAAGCGGAAGCCAAAACTGTTTCCAACGCCTTCCTGATTCATGCTTATACCTCTATCTTCCGACGGACAAGTAGGCTCGGCACGTTGCCATTCACGATCGACAGTCCCTCGGCCAATGTTCTGTATCCAAGACCGAAGTCACTTTGGGCCCAGCTCGCCAGCTCGCCACCGTGTCCTCAGGGCCTCTCTTGGGAGGCATTTCGGGTGCCCCTGGGATGCAGTTTTGAGGCCACTTGGGGGCTGTTCTGGGGCCTCTTGGGGTCGCTTTTGGGCCTCCTGGCGGTCTCCTGGGGCCTCTTGGGTACCGCTTCGGGGCCCGTTGTCGGTCTGAGGGGCTCTCTTGTGGCGCAGGGCGCGAGCTGTGAGTCCGTCCTCCCCCTCCTGGGCCCCTCTTGGGGCCGTCTTGGGGCCCTCTTGGGGGCCGTCTTGGCCCGTCTTGGAGTGGTGTTGTGGTCCTGTGGGGACGTCCTGGAGCGTCGGACGACCGAAACGGCGAGAGCACACACATCCTTCACCCATCGATGGGACATCAGTGATGTTGGGACTCCTCTTGGGATCTTCTCGGAGGCCTCTTGGGGCGTCCAGTAGGCCTTTTGGGCCGTCCTGAGGCCAACTAGCGCCTTGGACCGATTGTTCGGCGACTCGATGCCTTTTGTATCCTGTGAAACGCCTCTTGGGGCCCTCTTGGGCTCGTTTTTTGGCCCTCTTGGGCCCGAACAAATGATGCGTAATGCGACAAGACGCGGGGAACCGTGGGAGAACCGTGAGGATCCCCAGGAGGTTTAAGAATCTGAAGTCCCTTGTAGTTCTCAGCTTTGAATCTTGGGGATTGATGACTGAGGACTGCAAAGGACCTGAAGAAACTTAAATTCGTGCCTCGCGGTACAGTGTCGGATGAGGCCATTCTGTTCAATGCCAGACTCGGCTCGAATATGCGGCCACTGTGATGCCTGGCAGGGATTTGCGGTCCTATGTTAATTGGTCTCTTTCCAAATTGGTGTCGTAGCTTTCGCCCTACGCTCAACAATGGAACTCCACCATGCGTGTTTAAGGTCACGCGTCACAAACGGGTTCGGACAGAGCCCGCAATTCTTGGCTGGCAGTACTTGTTGTGCTGGTTTGGGGCTGCGAGTAGCCCGGCACACTTCCCTGTTCCGCGAGGTTTCCGATGCACATGGACAAGCTCCAACTGACAGGCGACCGCTCCGTGTTCTTCATGAACTTTATGCCGGGCTATCCTGTGGTCGGGGCCCTCGAGGCGCGTGATTTTCCCCGATCTTCCTTACCCTCCTCTTTTCCGTGTTCATCCCTTCCCCATCTCTACCGCTCTTCGTTTTTTGCCTCGTCCTCTCTTCGTCGTGTCCTTACCCGCCATTACCTCCCCCTTCATCTTGCTCGTCCTCATCTCCCTCACGCCCGCCCCCATCTCTTTCCTCCTGTTACTCCTCCTTTTCCTCTGGTCTCTTCCATGTCTCATTATTTTCCTGATTCTCTCCGCTCTGCCATTCCACATTCTGAGTACTACTCGCCTCTCTCACCTGACTCTGCGCGGAAGTTGCTCGGAGCTCTCCGCTTCATATCTGTGTATAAACATGCACTGCATTTTCTTTATCCGGATGTCAACTGTTGATTTGTTCCAGAGTGTTTTCGCAGTCTGATGGTTTACGGTGTTTCCAAATGGTGTTCCCGCTGCAGCGTGGGCCTTTGTGGGCCCCAGAAACGGCAGGGCCGTTTTTTCACCGTTTCCAGAAAATTGTCCCTTGAAAATGGAAACGGCAACAAAAACGGCGACCGGAAGCGGCAAAAAGACGGCTCCAGGATTGGAACCGGAGCTGGAACGGGTCAAACAACGGCGACGGAACCGGTAAACAAACGGCGTCGGAACTGGCGAAAAAAACGGCAAAACGGAACCGGTGAAAAAACGGCCCTGTCGTTTCCAGGGCCCACTAAGGCGTGGGCCTCATTTTCGAGTCGGCGCTGTGCTCCCGGCCTTCAGGGTGACGCTCTGTCGCCCCAGCGTGGGCCACTCTCTTCCGGATCCGGGCCTTTTGTTCGTCGTTGTTGCCCCCTTTCTGTTCCCTTCTCCGCCTTCCCCTGCTTCGGGGGTGGACAGGACCCCCAACAGTGACACGTCGACTAGTGAATCGTCCGTTTTCGGTTCTCGAGAGGGCGCCGTGGCCGTTATTTTCCAGGCTTGCGCCCGCCAGGTTTGGGCCTCTGGTCGTTTTCACTAAACCACGTTTTACTAAAGGGGGGTCTGTCCATCCCCGACTGGTCCTCCTGCTCCTCCCACTCCTTCCACTCCAGTGCCTAATGTTCTGCTACTGTTCGTCCTCGTCCTCCTCCTTCGTCATCCTCCTCCTTTTCCTCCTGCTCATCCTCCTGCTTTCCCGCCACCTCCTCCTCCTCCCATAAGGGCAGCTCCCCTTTCCCACTGCGCATAACATGATGGGTTATGTTTCTGAGTTCCAGGTCGGATATCTCTCTCAATCACCCCTCCCTCCCCCTCCCTGCTTGTCTATTCTCCCTGCCCCCCCATCCTTCCCGCCTTCCAGCTCCTCTCCTTCTCTTTCCTTCCTTTGCATCCCCCCAATTCATCCCTCCTCCCTGCTCCCTTTCTCTCCTCCGCCCGCAGGAGTAGGGAGAAGGGGGAGGATGAGGCGGAGGAAGATGAGTAGTGATGGGGGAGGGGCCAAGCAGTAGTGCCAGGCGAAAACGCGTACTTAGACATTCCTACCTACATGGGCCATGAAGGGGTGGGTGGCGGGTTTCGTTGATTTCTGTTCTCCTTCTCTCGTCTCCCTCGTTCTCATTATATGTCTCTCTCTCTCTATCTCTTGGTCTCGCTCTCTCTCTCTCTATCGCTCTCTCTCTCTCTCTGTTTCCCCTCTCCCTCTCTCTCTCTCTCTTGTACTGTGTGTGGCTGCGTGTGAGCGGCTTGCTGGTGAGAGAGGGAGGCGGATGGGGGAGCAGGAGAGCTGCGATGGATGATGATGTTGTTGATGGTGATGCTTACGATGTTGATGAGGATGCTGATGGTGATGATGCTGATGCTGCTGCTGATGACGATGATGATGATGACGATGATGCTTCTGAGGATGAGGGTGAGGATGATGATGAGCGTGAGGATGCGGAGATGGTGGAGGTGGCGGATGGGGGAAAAAGATGAGGAACACGTTGCGGAGGGGCGAAGGTACTGGGGGCAGAGGAGGGGGAGAACGTGGCCGAGTGGGGGGAGGGAAGGGTGCTGCAGGAGGGAGAGAACTTGGCAGTAGTTTGAGGTGGATGGGGAGAGCGGGAAAGGATGATCGGACCGGGCCAGAGGCTCCTGGGAAGTTAGGGCACAGTTGGGCCGTGTCGGAGCCCGTCCCGGCTGTCCTGAGACTATCTGTGCCCGAAGGAGCTGGAAAGCCATACGAAGCAAGCCAGATGCTGAGCAACCTCAGGTTTTCCACTCGATTGACCACCGGTGTGGACTGCCTGGGAACTCTCTGGGGGCGTCCTTTGGGAGCCTCCCGTGCGCTTCTCGGGGCCCGGTTGGTCGCCCTGGAGGCCCGACGGGGCCGCCCTGGCAGCGTCCCGTGGCCCCCATTGAGCCGCCTCGTGCGGCCTCCCGGCGCCCTCTTCGGCCCTCGCGGGCCCCACTTCGGGGGCCTACAGTCAAAAACCCTAATAAGAACGCGCGACTTTGCTCAGGGTCCCCTTGCGTCCTTGCTCTTCTTTGCTCTTGCGTCCTTGAGGTTTTCGTCGTCCGCCGCCCCAGAAATCCCAACTTCGGCTTCCAAGGGTCTTGCGTCCTTACCGCGCGTTCTCATTAGGGTTTTTGACTGTAGAGTCGAGGCGCTGAAGAAGGACCCCTTTTCGTTTGGGAGGGGCTGCGTGCTACTTTGCTGTTTCACTCCTTGCCTTAGGTTTGCTTTCGGCTCTTGATCGGACATCGAAGTCGAGCTTCTGGTCAGAAGGGGCCTCGTCCCTTTTTTAGGGCTCCTCAGGTCAACGGCCCCACTGTAGGTCGCCTGCCCTTTTTGGGGTGGGCCAGCGAGTCGGCTCGCGTGGCTGGCTCCCCCGGCGCCTCCTGGCGCCAGGGCAGCCCATACGGTGAGCGGCTTGAATATGGAGCCCCTGCTTTTTCAGAGGGGCTCGGTCGTTCCTGGGGCCTGCATGCGTCGTTCATCATCACTTGTCGTTCCTCGTGCGTTGCCCCTTGGACAAACGGGGCTTCGTTCCTCATGTATCGTTCCCTGGGAGTCATCCGAGCGCGAATTACCTACCCCGCTTTCGCTTCCAGGAACAACCTAGTCATACCGCGCGCCTCCTCGTCGAGCGGCCCGACCAGTACGGGCCGCAGTTTGGCATCGCTTGGCATCTCTTGGAAGCGAGGGTGGTCAAAAGCGAGGTAGTCGGCAACACCCCAACATACTTATACTATATGTGCGTCGCCCTCCCAGGGGCGACGCGCGCACCGAGAAATCTTATAATATATGCGTCGTGGCGGGCGCTTTCTGGCCACACCGCTCGGGAAACGATGTACTACAAGATGGGTGTACTATGTGTTCGGGTCGGACGCGCGCCTCCAAGGAGGACATATAGTATTAGTATGTCCATGTGCGTCCCCTAAGTCAGGCCCATCTGGTCTCCCGAAGGAGGAGGAGGAGGGGGAGGAGGAGGAGGAGGAGGAGGAGGAGGAGGAGGACGAGGAGAAGGAGGAGGAGGACGAGGAGGAGGAGGCGAAGGAGGAGGAGGAGGAGGAGGCGGAGGAGGGTCAGCAGGGGCAGGTCCGCGCCTGTGCAGCCCGGGACCGCGCCTGGCCGCGGGGCCGGAGCGGCGGGCCTCCGTGACCCGCCAGAGGCCTCCGACGCCGCGGATCGCCCCGCACCGCCGACCCCCCCCAGGAGGCCACCTGTGGCCGATGGGCCTCCTGCTCCCCCTCCTCCTCCCCCTCCTCCTCCTCCTCCTCCTCCTCCTCTCCTCCTCCTCCTCCTCCCCCCTCCTCTCCTCCTCCCCTCCTTCTCCTCCTCCCCTCCTCCTCCTCCTCCTCCTCCTCCTCCTCCTCCTTCTCCTCCTCCTCCTCCTCCTCCTCCCCCGCCGACCCCCCGCTCTCCACCACCATCCATTGGAGGGGAGGGGTCCTCCTCCTCCTCATCCTCCTCCTCCTCCTCCTCCTCCTCCTCTCCTCCTCCTCCTCCTCCTCCTCCTCCCCCTCCTCCTCCTCCTCCTCCTCCTCCTCCTCCTCCTCCTCCTCCTCCTCCTCCTCCTCCTCCTCCTCCTCCTCTCCTCCTCCTCCTCCCCCCTCCTCCTCCTCCTCCGCCGACCCCCCGCTCTCCACCACCATCCATTGGAGGGGGAGGGGGTCCTCCTCCCCCTCCTCCTCCTCCTCCTCCTCCTCCTCCTCCTCCTCCTACCTCCTCCTCCTCGTCCTCCTCCTCCTCCTCCTCCTCTTCCTCCTCCTCCTCCTCCTCCTCCTCCTCCACCTCCTCCTCCTCCTCCTCCTCCTCCTCCTCCTCCTCCTCCTCCTCCTCCCCGCCGACCCCCCGCTTTCCACCAGCATCCATTGGAGGGGGGGGTCCTCCTCCTCCGCCTCCTCCTCCTCCTCCTCCTCCTCCTCCTCCGCCTCCCTCCTCCTCTCCTCCTCCTCCTCCTCCTCCTCCTCCCCTCCTCCCCCCCTCCTTGTCCTCCTCCTCCTCCTCCTCCTCCTCCTCCGCCTCCTCCTCCTCCTCCTCCTCCGCCTCCTCCCCTCCTCCAACGTATGGTGGTGGTGGTGGTGGTGGAGAACAGGCCCACCGCCGGCCCCCCAGAGGTCTCATGGCGCCCACGTCGCCGAGCGGATGTCGTTCGGAAAACGACAGGATGGGGCCGGAGTGTCCTGGAGGAGTTAGTTCCGGATTGCGAGGTGGATTTCGTGCGGATTTTTTGTTGGGCCAGGATAGTGAAGACTAAGAAACATCCGCGCGAAATTCGCTTCGTTTTTCACTCGCCGTCTCGGGGATTGCATGGACAGAAATCCACGCAAAAATCCGCTGCAGCGCGTCTGCAAGGGTGGCGCGCCGGGAGGTCTGAGCCTCCCCTGGCACCTCCCTTCCTCCGCCCCGGAGTCGCGAGCAGGAGACGCTTCCCGATCCTCCCCTTCGCCCTGGCCCCCCCTCTCGCCTTTTCCCCCCTGCTTCGGGCGGGGCTAGGACGAGGAGCAATCCGTTCCAGAGCGTTCCGGAGAGCTTTGAGAAGGCCGCGGCGCCCGAGACATCCTCCAGAGCCGCCAGATCTCAGCGATTCTCGATTCATCCTCGCCCGATGTTATCCTCTCCGATGTTATCCTCTTCCTGGCCTCGTCGTACCTCTCTTTCCAGGCCCCCACCAGGGGCCTCCTCCCCTTCCCGCTCGCCCCTCCCTTGCACTGCTTCTGCCCCTCCCTCCCCTGCTCTACCCTCCCCAGTCCACTCCCTCGATGCTCTCGACTCTCGGGGGCCCCCAAACGGTGTGGTGACCGCACCGTGTGGTCAGTCGGTGGGGATTCGGGGTCACCGCGCGGTTTTGGGACTCGGGTCGTTCTCCGAGGACGTCTCGGGCGACAGGGGCCTCCAGGGTCCCCCAAAAGCCGTGCTGTGACAGACCGTGCGGTGAGGTCTCGGGGGGATTTCGAGGTCACCGCACGGTCTGTCACCGCGCCGTTTAGGGACTCCAAGTTCTTCTCCTGGGGGGGTCCAGTCGCGGCGACGAGAAGTCTTCAGCAGGACCACAGAGGATGCACAGCGCCGGGGAGGATCGCAGTCGTCTCCCCACCGGCCCTCCTGCGATGTTCTCCTGTCCTCCCCTCACCCCAGGCGGTCTCCACCATCGTGCTGATAGCCTTCTTTGACCAGCACTTCAACGAGTGTGACGACCTGGCCATAGGCGCACCCGCCCTCCTGTTGAGATCGGGGGCCATCTCGGCAAGTACGTAATCCATTGGCGTAAAGGAGACAGGGCGATGATGTATGGGGCCGTTGGTGCAGGAGCTCCCCCACCTCACTTCGTCATCTCGATCCTACCAAGCACTCCTCACCTCATCCCATTTGCGTACCCGAGGGGTCGTCGCTTTCAAGTTCCGTGGCTGTCGGGCACGGGCATGGGACTCACTGGGAATTTGGTTGTTGCATGGACCTTTTTCAGGACAAAGCGTTGCCATGGTGTTGCATCGTAGTATAGCTGTGCCGTTCAATTGCAGCGGCCCTCATGTATTATAAGCTGCCACGGCCCAGAACATGCTCACGCTACATGATCGCCCGTGGAAGTATGGGCTTCCGACCTCAAGCATGCTTTACCAGCAAGCGGATGCCTGATTTCATGACAACGCTGACAAATGCGTGTGAATATTTGAGGTTGTTGAACTAGCTCATAGCTTGTCGACCGCAGTGTTGGTCTGGGTCTGGAGTTAATTGTTCTTTCGTTTTCGCACAAGCCTCAAACGGGACCTGGCCGTTGCCCTGGCCCTGTAGCGCTTGCCGCAGCCCTGGTTCGTGTTTCATGTAGTTTGGTGTTCCCATTGTTTTTGCGCAAGGCTCAGACGGGACATCGCCCCTCGCCTTAAGCCCTGGCCGCGCAGCCCTTTTTGCAGCCCTGGTTCGTTGCGATTGCCGCAGCCCCGGTTCAATTTTCGTTTCGTTTGTTCCAACCATCCCGTGGTGTTGGGTTCTCGTTTTGAAGAGACAGCGCACCGCGTTCTCACTCCTCCTCCTCCCGCTCCTCCCTCCTCCTCCCTCCTCCATCATCAGCGTCATCACCCGCTTCACCACACAATTCAAACGTTGCGTGGCCCCATGGGGCTCCACCGAAGGCCCCAGTGGCACCGCCCGCATGCGTCACCCCCCCCCCCAGTCCAGCGCTTCGTGGCCCCATAGGGACCTCCATCGAAAGCCCCAGTGGCACCGCCCGCCGCCCGCATGCGTCGTCCCCCACCCAGTACAGCGCTTCGTGGCCCCATAGGGAGCACACCGAAGGCCACAGCGGCACCGCCCGCATGCGTCATTCCCCACCCAGTACACTGTTTCGTGGCCCCATAGGGGGCTCCATCGAAGGCCCCAGTGGCACAGCCCGCATGCGTCACCCACACCCAGTACAAAGCTTCGTGGTCCCATAGGGAGCTCCACCGAAGGCCCCAGTGGCACCTCCCTCATGCGTCATCCCCCACCCAGTACAGCGCTCCGTGGCCCCACAGGGAGCTCCCCCGAACGCCACAGTGGCACCGCCCGCATGCGTCACCCCCACCCAGTACAGCGCTTCGTGTCCCCATAGAGAGCTCCACCGAAGGCCCCAGAGGCACCGCCCGCATGCGTCACCCCCACCCAGTACAGTACAGCGTTTCGTGGCCCCAAAGGGAGCTCCACCGAAGGCCGCAGTGGCACCGCCCGCACGCGTCATCCCCACCCACAGTACAGCGCTTCGTGGCCCCATAGGGAGCACACCGAAGGCTCCAGTGGCACCGCCCGCATGCGTCACCCCCCTCCCAGTACAGCGTTTCGTGGCCCCATCAGGGGCTTCTCCAGTGACACCGCCCACATGCGTCATCCCCCACCCAGTACAGCGCTTCGTTGCTCCATAGGGAGCTCCACCGAAGGCCTCAGTGCCACCGCCCGCACGCGTCACACCCACTCTGTACGCGCTTCGGGGCCCCATAGGGAGCTCCACCGAAGGCTCCAGCGGCACCGCCCGCATGCGTCACCCCCACCCAGTACAGCGCTTCGTGGTCCCATAGGGAGCTCCACCGAAGGCCCCAGTGACACAGCCCGCATGCGTCACCCCCCACCCAGCGCAGCGTTGCGTGGCCCCATAGGGAGCTCCATCGAAAGCCCCAGTGGCACAGCCCGCATGCGTCATCCCCGACCGAGTGCAGCGCTTCGTGGCCCCATCGGGAGCTCAACGGGAGGCCCCAGTGGATGCACTCGCATGCGTCACCCCCGCCAAGTGCAGCGTTTTGTGGCCCCATAGGAGCTCTCACGCGTCCCCCCACCCAGCACAGCGTTTCGTGGCCACATGGGGAGCTGCACCGAAGGCCTCGGTGGCTGTACTCATGCCGCATGCGTCTCCCCACCCATTACATTATGTCGTTGCCCCATAGGGAGCTCCACCGAAGGCCCCAGTGGCGGCCCCGCCCCACTGCGGTGCACCCCATCACACTTTTCGCGGGCCCGCAGCGCGGTCCGCCTAAAGCGCCAGTGGCAGCGCCTACATGGCGGCCCCGCCCCACATCCGCACACCCATCGCATGCTTCATGGCTCCGTGAGGAGATCCCCCGAAGGCGATACCCACAACGACGGTACTCACAACTGCACATGGCTGGGTTCTTCGCCAGGATAATTGTTCGTTTGTTTTCGCGCAAGCCTCAAGCGGGACCTCGCCCCTCGCCGTAGCCTTGGCCTTGTGGGCCCTGCTTCAGCCCTGGTCTGTTGGTTCGTTTCGTTTTTTGGTCTGTTTTGTTTTATTAATATGTTTGCGTCGACCCCCCGTCATAACCCCGCCCCTCGCAGTCGCCCTGGCCCCAAACCCCATCTAATGCTGCCCCGTCCCCAGCCATCGTTCTATGTTTTCGTTTCGTCCTTCGTGTTGTTGCAAGCTGGGTTTGCGAAGTTCGTTTCGTGTTTCGTTTTGTTGTCTCCTTGAACGGTGGCCTCGTTTCGTTTTTCGTTCCGTTTGCACCCGTTTCGTTCCAAACGTTCGTTTTGAATTTTCGGGATCGTTTTTGTTATTTAGTTCAAACGCAAGCGCGTTTTCAACATCGATGTGGTCGGCCCCTCCAAGCCTCGACTGGGGTCCAGCGGCTTCCGGGACCCTGGATTCCTCATCCTGTGGTCCCTTATCCAATGCCCTCGCCGTGGAGGAGAGGCTGGGGCGATGGTCAGGGGCGAGGTCATCACCGGAGATGGTTCCGCTGGGCCGGGGGAGCGGAAACCGGAACCGGAAACCGGAAAACGGAAACCGGAAAACGGAAAACAGCGAAGAAGGAAGCGGAGGCCGACGGCAGACGACAACAATCGGAAAACGGAAAAGGGAAAACGGAAAACGGAGAAGAAAGACGCGGGGGGTGACGGGAGAGCACCGGAACCGGAAAACGGAAAACGGAAAGCGGAAACCGGAACCAGAAAAAGGAAACGGGAAACCGGAAAGGGGAAAACGGAAAACAGCGAAGAGGGAAGCGGAGGCCGACGGGAGACCACCGGAATCGGAAAACGGAAAACGGAAAAAGGAAAACGGCGCAGAAAGACGCGAGGGACCACGGGAAAGCACCGGAACGGGAAAACGGGAAACGGAAAACGGAGACCGGAACCGGAAACCGGAAAACGGAAAGCAGAAACCGGAAAACAGTGAAGAGGGAGCCGGGAGCCGACGGCAGACCACCGGAATCGGAAAACGGAAAACGGAAAACGGAAAATGGCGTAGAAGGACGCGGGTGCCCACGGGAGAGCACCGGAACCGGAAAACGGAAAACGGAAACCGGGAACCGGAACCGGAAAACGGAAACCGGAAAACGCAAAACGGAAAATGGAAAACGGAAAACGGAAACCGGAAACCGGAAAACGGAAACCGGAAAACGGAAAGCGGAAACCGGAAAACGGAAAACGGAAAGCGGAAACCGGAAAACGGAAACCGGAAAACGAACATCGGAGGAGGAGGAGGAGGAAAAGGAGGAGGAGGAGAAAGAGGAAGAGGAGGAGGAGCCTCCCTTCCTCCTCTCTCCCTCTTGCCCCCCCCCCGCCCCTCCTCCCTCCCCGTTCCCTTTGCCAGGCTTCCTCCCTCCCCTCCTGCCTCCCCCCTCGTTGATCCTGCCCTCACCTCCCTGTCTCCCTCCTCGTTCCCTCCTCCTCCTCCTCGTCCCTCTTCCCGAGCGGATCCGGCGCGCGGGCTGGCCAGACCGAAGGACAACGACGATCTGATTTCAAGAAGCCCCCAAAACGTTCCAAGGCTGCTCCAAGAGGCTTCCGAGACCTCCAAAGAGGCCCCCAAGAAGCCAAACTCATTCAAACACCAAAAGAAAATGAATGATTTTTGCTTTCTCGCCTTTTCGCTTTCGATGGCCATCCGAAGCGTCAAGGTGCATCCAAAATGGCCCAGGAGAGCCCCAGGAGAGGCCCAAGAGAGCCCCAGGACGGCCCCAAGAGCGCCCCGAGAGCGATCCAAGAGAGGTCCAGGAGGCGATTGTCGGTGCTCCCAAGGGGGGAGGCAAATTTAAGCTCACCTTTTTGTGATCGATGTCCTCCAAGATGGCCCCAACGGCGCCCCTAAAGCTCCCAAGAGCGGCCCAGGAGGGCCCCAAGAGGCGCTCAGGCAGCCCGAAGATGCCTCCAAGAGGCTCCCGAGAGACCCTATACGAGGCCCCAAGAGGATCTCCGAGGTACCCAACTCTCCCTCCTTCTCCTCCTTCTCGTCCTCCTCGTCCTCGCCCTACTCCGCCTCCTCCTCCTCCTCCTCCTCCTCCTCCTCCTTCGACGACGACGATTCCTCCTCCATCCTCCCCTTCCTGCGGTATATGACGGCGTCCCCCGCCCTTTGTCCTTCTGCATGCTCCCCCACTTCTCGTATCATCTCAACTCCCCTGGGCATCGTTTCTGGATGGGCTGGTGGGGATATGTGAAGCGTCAACAATAGCAGCGCGTTCATCGATTACCGATGACAAATCCCACCAGTCCTCTGGGCGGAGGTGGTCTACGGCGTTTTCTCTGGTAAATTTCCAGAAACCCCTCTCCCTACCCTCTCCCCTGGACCTCGCCGCACCCCCTGCAATATTCTGCAAAAGAGGGGTGCAAAGATTCCGTGCTGACCCTGCAATACCTTGGAAAACGACCCTGCAAACTAAACCCCTGCAGTACCATGCAATACCCTGCAAACCACCCTGAAATACCCTGCAAAACGACCGCGCG